ATATTATTTATTATGCAATAAACAATTAATCACGTGACACCGGTGCTGATCACCTGCGGTGATTCAAAGTAATTTTATAAAATAAAATATCATTATTTTTTTAAGATGATTGTTGTATATTTTAACTTCATAAGTTTATAAATTTGATCAAAAAGAAAATTATAAAAGAAGAAAATTTTATTGGTAATAGAAAATAAATTAGTATATAGATCTATTATTTTTAAAAGTTTTAGATAGAACTATACCTTTTAAAAATCTATAAAAGTAAATTAGACTTTAAAATCTAAAAGAAATATTTAGTATAAGTAAAATATAAAAAATCAGAATAAGAAATATAAATTAAGAAATTGATAATTATAATATTAATTAGTTCAAATTATTTGATTTGATATATTTTTTCATATAAGATCAGATTAGATAATATATTTTGATTTGATTTGATTTGCTTAATCTAAATATAATTAAGTTAATTCAGATCATTTCAAGTAAATCAGTTTATTTTAAATAAAATCAAATTAATTCAAGTAATTCAATATTTTTTTAGATAAGTTTTGGTTGGATAACTTGTTCTGATCTAATCTAATCTGTTTATTCTGAAATTATTTAGATCATTTTAGATAAACTGATTTATTTAAGTAATCTAAAGTATTTTATTTTATTGTTAAATAAGAATAATGATAAATTGTTTAAATTAAAATAATAATAAAATATTCAAGAAAAATAATAATATATTGTTTTAATTAAATAATGATGAGTTATTTTAGAAGAATAAGATAAATTGTTTAAATAGAATAATAATAAATCATCAATTAGAATAATAATAAATTATTCAAGAAAAATGATAATATTTTATTCAAGAATAATAATATATCATTCTTTTTAAATCAGATTAGCAGGTTAATCAGGTTGGATACCTAACCTGATATTATCATGATCAACCTAACAGGTTACCTGAATTGACTCAACTTTGACATTTTTATAATAATTTGGCTACATTTATAAGAAGGATAAATAATAATTGTATTTTAAAAGTCTATAAATTTAACTTTATATATCATACAAGTCAAATCTTTCTAAATGCATCTTTTTTAAATGCACATATTATATATTTTTTTCTAAGCATATAAATATATAAAATTTTCTTTTTAATCTTTAATGCACATTTTTTAAATTTCAATACGATTTCAAGAAGAATTCGTTTGACTTTATCACGTCAAAGTTAATACGTCATACGTATTTAAACGCAAAATTGGAATTCATTATACAAATACAAACTAGTTAAAATATAATTTATTTTCCTTAATTTGTTTGTTTCTTATATGTTCTATATACAACCAAACAAAAAAAAAATACAATTAAACGAAGAACGGAGTTTTTTAAAGTTTAGTTCTTAATAATTACACTTCTCTCGATTCAACGAACTAAATCTATTAAAATTATTCTTTTGCTTTTGTATTGTGTTATTTTTATTTCTTTCGATCGTTATGTAACGAGAGCCTCGGAATACGTGTTATTAAACTTATTGGTTTTGTTGTTTCGTAATAAATTTTATGTTTTTTTTTTTTTAGTGATTATTATTATTATTATTATTTTTTTTTTTTTATTCATAATTTTAGTCCCGAGTAAAGAATTCAAGTGCGATCAATACACCATCTTCCGTTCCACAAATCAACCATTCTTGTGTCATTTTTAAACAAGTTACTCCACTATCTATTTGAGCAAGAGTAACGGCAGGGAACGGGATATTAAAAGAACTTCTCTTTTTTGGCACCGCCAAAGAGCGCGAGTTATTTAACTGATAATGTTTGATATAACCGTCGGAAGAAACAGAGATAAGGCGCGATTCATTACACTGAAGATCCCAGACGATGTCGGTATGCTCTTTGGTGGAATGTAATAATTGACCCGTATTTAAATCCCACATGCGGATTGTGGAATCGGCGGATGCGGAAAAAATAAAAATAGATTTACGAGATGTGTTGAAGTCACTGAATTCCATATCGTTACTATGGTTGTTTGTGTTAAGGTTTTCGGGCGGACTAGGAGGGGGAGTAACGTTGTTCGATGGCGAAGAAGAAATGATATTTTGATTTAAACGATTGTGATTGGTTCTTTGACGATGGTTAATAGATTCGTGGTTTGGTTGAATTAGCGAATCTGGATCATCCAAATCCATAAGTTCGACTTCTCGGGTAATATTTGTACAGGGTGAAGGGGATCTTGATAGAAAACTTAAAGTATTAATATGGACTGAACGTGGTGAATCATCAAGCTGATCTTGATCAGCATCATCGATCTGCTGCACTAAATCTTTATACCAAGCCAGGCAAGTAACTGCTCTAGTATTTCCCTCTAACCTTTTGACGATTTGAGGTTTTATGGGTGAGGTCGATTGAAAATTTGATAATTGTTCTTCAGAAGGATTAGGATTCAAATCCCATATCAAAATGGAATTGTCATTTGATCCGGAAATTAACCAATACAGTTTTTCCTCTTGTTCTTCAGTGGTCAAAGAGGAAATAATTCGGGGTATGAGCATCAATGTTCCTACTGTACCATCATGACCATACAATTTTTGCAAGCAATCGCCGGTATGTATGTTCCAAATTCTAATTGTTTTATCTACAGAACCTGAATAGAGAATAGATTCGTTGTGATTCATTGTCAACGAAATAATACCAGCTAAATGACCATTAAGTCTATATTTAATCGCATGATCATTGCTAATATCATATATGATGATACTTTTGTCCCAACCGCCTGACGCGAGGAATTTATGACCTAACACCAAACATTGAACACCTTCGAAATGATCCTTTAGTACTTTGAGACACGTCCAATTGAATATATCCCACATTTTTATGGTCTTATCGAAAGAACCTGTATAAATTATATTTCCATGTTCGAATCCTGCGATACACGTGATACCTTCTTGATGGGCGCGCATAAGATATTGAGAAAAATTTTGCTTATCCCAATTTCTCTGAACTAATATATGATGCTTATATAATTGAAAAAAATGGTCTTCGGCATTCTTACTGTAATTAAAGGATTTCGATATGAGATTGATGGAGAAACCAGCAAGAATACATTGTCTTTTCCAAAGAGAGTTTTCTGTCGCTCGATCTTTCCAAGTTTTAGAAACTGTAATTTAGTATAATATAAATAGATTGTTATTTTAACGATGATCGTCATTGAATGTAACATTAAATAAACAAACAAATAAAAATAACATGTCTCGTGAAAATTTGATAAGTATAATTGAGTGCAAAGAGCTATTTAAATAATCTTGAAACGCATTTTTTTATTTTTTTTTATTTTTTTTTATTTTTTATAATATATATATAAAAAAAAAAAAAAAAAAAAAAAAAGTAAACATACCTTGTCTAATCTTGCATAAATTTTCTGCGTCTAAGAATTCAAGCAAGTAAGTGGTCATGGAAAGAGAGAGAGCGGAAATTATGTCTTTATTTAGGTGTTGCTGGTTTTGCTGCTGCAAATACTCTGACAATTTTTTGCGTTCGGTCAAAGATAATTTATCAACTAATGACTGCACATATCCTAAACCGAAACCATCATCAATAAGACGGCTCACCCCGTCGTCTTTTGACATTGCAGCAAATTGATGAGGAAAAAGAGGACTTGGAAAATTTGCATCATTTAAGGGGGTTAAAAAGAAGCCGATCTTAATTGCATAAAAATACATTGTTCCATTGAACATGACACTAAAGTAAAATTGTATATATATTTAATGTAAACGATAACTTTATCCATTTAGTTGTAAAATCATTGCATTTTTAGCGTGGATTTTATGCAGTTACTATTTAAATAAACTTGTCAAAAATTGCACAGCATATGTCAAGTAACCTTAATTTTTAAAGTTTAATGTCAAATATATATACATTTATTTTAAATTCTAAACAATTGTACCCTGTAACGCAGAATTTTTTAAGAATTTTACACGTGAATTAATGTGTTTTGCTAATTCTGGTAAAATATCATAATTCTGCCCAACATCCATATTTGACCAGGATTTAAATTGTGAAAACTTTTATAAATTTTTCTTTAGCTTTGTTAATCATCTTCAAATGGCGTCTTGCTCGCATTTCTCGAGTGCAAATCTGAAAATTCCCACTGACTCTAGTCGAATTCATAAGGAGGAGTGTACGCTTTGTTTTGATTCACAGGTATAGCAAAGTAGTATTATTGCTTTTTTTTAAGAGTGTCGTAGTTTTATTTTTAAAATTTATTGAAATAGGATTTGCCGCCAGGCATCGATGTTTGTTTGACGTGTTTTAATGCGGGCTGTAATAGTTCAGAACGTCATCATGCTGAAACCCATTATCAAAAGACAAATCACCCTCTAGTTCTAAACGTTTACCGAATGTTAAAAGATAAGCCAAAAAGGGTATGCTTAGGAGATCATGCCTATTTGTTGTGATTGTTCGATCGTTAATGTAAATATATTTTTATTTGATTTTAATTATAGGCAGTTGAAACTGAACCTCCTCAAAAAATTAGTAAACTTGCGATCGTTCCAGAATCTGACAAGGATAAATATGAATATGTTACGCGAGCCAAATGTTATGCGTGTGGCGGTATGGAAGTTGATAAAACCGTCGGAAATGTAATATATATATATATATTTTTTCATTTTTCATTTTTTAATGTTTATTTTATTTTCCTTTGTTAAATTATTTAAATTCTTTTAATTTCAAAATGCAGTTACCCTTTGTAATTGATTCGGTCATGACTTCGTTATCTGCTTTAAAAAAGTCTGAAGCAGAAGCGTGGGAAAAAGAAATTACTGCATGTGATCATACACGAAACTTAAAGCAAGATCCTCCGAAAACATTGGAGTCAAAAGGTGGAATTTATTCTTGTTTCATTTGATGATCTTTACCAGTTTAACGTTAATTCATATAATTTTATGTTTTTATAATAGTTTTGGCACATTGTAAAGAATGTGATTTAAAGGAGAATCTTTGGCTTTGTTTAACTTGTGGGAGCCTTGGTTGTGGACGACAACAATATGGTGGATCAGGCGGAAATGGACATGGTTTAGCTCATTTTGATAAAACCAAGCATCCAATATCTTGCAAGCTTGGAACAATTACTCCAGAAGGAACAGCAGGTTTAATTTATAAAAAAATTCCAAATCATTTTGCTTATAATTTGTGATGAAAATATTTCTTACTTCGTATTTCTCATAGATATTTATTGCTATTTATGTAATGACTCAAAATTGGATCCTTATTTGGGAAATCATTTGGGTAATTTTGGAATAAATGTCGAATCACAACTGAAAACTGAAAAGAGTATAACCGAATTGGTGTGGAATTTACTTTATCAATTTATATAATAATTATGAACTTATAAATTAATTATTATTATAATTTTTGTTATTTTTTTTTTTTTTTTAAAAAAAAAGGAACTTGAACGAAACCTTGAATTTGACTTTACCATGATTACTGAGGATGGCAAAGAACTGGAGCCGTTATTCGGTCCTGGTTATACTGGTATTAAAAATTTGGGAAATAGGTAAAACAAACCATTTCATAATAACTTATATATATTGTAAACAACTGATGAATAAACTAACAAATCTTTTATGGGAAGTTGTTATATGGCTTCTGTTCTTCAAGCTGTTTTTTCTTTGGATGCGTTTCAACAAAGGTATGCGGTGTTGATTCGAGATACTTTTAATTGAAATTCATTAAATCACTAAAAACGTAATAAACATCAAGATATTATCCAACTGCGATGGAGCATCATTTGCAATGTCCGCAAGAACCAGCAAATTGTCTTCAATGTCAGTTATCCAAGTTGGCAGATGGCTTGTTGGGCGGTCGTTATTCTCAACCTGTTCAGGCGGGTGAAGCGGAAAATGATAAACGTGGACAAGATGGTATCTCTCCAGCTATGTTTAAAGCATTAATTGGGAAAGATCATGATGAGTTTTCCACCATGAGACAGCAGGTCTGGAAAAGAATAAAATAACACTTCAAATTTTTCGTGAAGAATTAATTGATTTATTATTTTCTAATGCATTAGGATGCTCATGACTTCTTGCAATATCTTATTACAATTATCGAGAGAAAGGAACATAATAATCCAGAAAATGATCCAACCAATATCTTTAAATTCACAGCACAACAACGTTTACAGTGCTTGGAGTGTAAACGGGTGCGCTATACTGAAAACTCTGAATCAATTATATCAATTCCCGTCCCTGCACATAAAATTGAAGGTTCCGAAGAAAAATATGAACCTATAACATTTGAAAAATGTATAGAATCTTTTACAGGAGATTCTATGATTGAATATTTTTGCCCAGCTTGCAACAAGGAAACTCATGCTACCACGTAATAGGCAATCTTTTTTCCTTAACTCTTTATTTCGCTATTATGGTAACTTATTTAAGTCTTTATTATTACAGAAATAAAAGATTTGTGACATTTCCTGAAGTTTTCGTTATTCATACAAAAAGATTTGATGAAACAGAAAATTGGGTTCCTCGTAAAATTAGTAAGAACTATTATTTATGGGATCTCCATTGATTAACCTAAACCAAAACTAACTTGGTAAATTTTTGTAGACGTTCCCATTCTTTTCGAACAGGATATTTTAAATTTTGACAAATATATCGCACATGGAAAGCAAGAAAACGAAGAGCTTTTACCTGGTAGGTGTGATCATTGTATTCATAATTATCATACGAAAGAATTTTTTATAATTCAAATTTTACAGACTCTTCGGCACCCGCTATTGACGAAAAGGTTCTTAATCAGTTGTTTGAAATGGGTATTTCTGAAATCGGGTACAAGAAGGCTTTGATTGCTACTGGAAATAATGGAACTGAAAGTGCTATGAATTGGTTAATGGATCATATGGGCGATCCAGGTTATAATTGAAAACCTCAACTAATATTTATTCATTTTAATAGTTACTAATTCAATTATAATCTTTAAATTTATAAAGACATCGATAAGCCAATTGCGAGTTCATCCAGTACATTAGGGCCTTCCGAAGCCGATGTCAGTCAGTTAATGGATATGGGATTCACTAAAACGAGAGCACAAAAAGCTTTAAGAGAAACAGTTTGTATTCTTTTGTCTTCTGTCATTTGAATCGATATTTTTCTTTTATTTATTTACATTTAATTTACCCTTTATAGAACAACGATGTTGAACGGGCTGTCGAATGGCTCTTTAGTCATTCTGAAGAGGATTCAAACGAAGTTATATCATTGCAACCGGGTCATGATTCTAATAGTACTATTGGAGGTAAATGATATCTTTTAAATCTTGTTATATCACGATGATTTGTTTTTAATGCTTCTCGATTTTTTTTTTTTTTTTTTTTTTTTTAAAGACTCTATATTACCTGCCAATTATCGACTACAAAGTTTTATTTCTCATAAAGGTACTTCGTTACACTGTGGTCATTATGTAGCTCATGTATACAAAGACCAACAATGGGTGTTGTATAACGATAACAAAGTAGTCAAAGCTTGTCAAGTTCCTTTAGGAGAAGCCTATATTTATATTTTGTGCAGGGTTCGATCTTAGTTTGAATATTTTTTTTTTTTAACGATCAGTTTATTAATTATACTTGAACAAAGTTGTGTGTACGAGGAATTATATATACCAAAGCAAGTGTGTGACCTTGTTAAAATCTTTTTTTTTTAAGATACAGTGAGGTGTGATATAATAAAATAATATAGGTTCCAAAATGCACAAATGTCGATATGACAATTTTTTGCTTTGAAAGGTTGTATTACGTTTTATTAGTATTAATTTGATAGTCTTTTTGCCGTCGTTTTATAGCAAATTTTTCATGCACATCCCCGGATAAAAAATATTAATACGTCATTTCGATAAGATTCAAATTTATTTTTTAACCTTTTCTTTCCAAAACTTTTCAGATATTAAATAAAATTTGAGTTCATAGAAGACTTAATATGTATTAATTTTTTTCTATTATCTAATTATTTTTAAACTATTATAAAAGGATAAATGATCATTTATTACATATAGAGCTTATAAGGTTACTACCATTTTATTTAACATATTCTTATTTTACTATTAGAATAATTTAGTAATATATATATTTTGTATAATTTTCAATAACAAGTATTATAGATTAATTAAGTTTATTAATATTAAATATATAAAAAAATCATTAAAATCAATTAAACCAATTTACTATATTAATTATGGTAATTAAGAAATATTAATAAATAAGTATTAATTTTATTAAAATCTTCAAATTTTTTATTTTAAAAAAAAAATCTAAAACTTAATTCTATTTAATTCTATTAAATATATTTATAATAAATTAAATTAAAAATATTTATTATAAATAATTATAAATATTAAATTCAAATTTAATTTATAATAAAATTAATATTTTTTTTTTAATAATTTAATTATTGATAATTTCTTCCTTTCTATTACAAAGTATCTATTATTATTTAAAATATAATTAAATAGACTAAAATACTTAATCAATTAAATAGCAGTAGAATTTAGCTCTAACTGCTTAATAAATTTAAAAGAGACTCAAATAAAATAGTAAATCTACAAAATGTTAAAATAT